AGGGAGTACCCGATCTGCTGTACCTCATAGTCAAACTCACTCAAACTTTGATGGCTAAGAAGATTACACGGCAGCCGGACCTCTTCCAATGCACTGTGTGGGAGGTGAAGAATATAGAGGGCTTGGGTACTACTATTGATGTCATCTTGGTTAACGGCCGGATCAAGGAAACTGACCAGATCTGCGTATGCACTCTAGCCGGGCCCGTTGTTACTACTATAAGGGCTCTGCTTACGCCTCCACCAGCTAAGGAAATTCGAGTGAAGTCGGAATATGTCCATCATAAAGTCATCAATGGTAGGTGGTCGGGCGGAGCTCGGCTGTTGGGGGCATCTTCGTGCCGTTGTTAGGTTCCATGGGGGTAAAGATATGTGCTCCTGGTCTTGAGGAGGCCGTTGCTGGGACGCAGCTGATCGTGATGCGGCCTGGTGATGATCCGGACGAGGTCAAGAGGAGGGCCATGGCTGACTACAAGGCTGTAGTGAATGAATTCAAGAAGGCCCCTGAGGGCGTGTATGTGAAGGCCTCTACCTTGGGCTCCCTAGAGGCCCTTTTGGAGTTCCTCAAGACCAGCGCTATTCCAGTTAACCAAGTGGGCATCGGTGAGGTTCATCTTATGGACGTCCGTAAGGCCTCGATTATGCTCGAAAAGAAGAAGGAATTTGCGGTGATACTGGCCTTTGATGTGAAGGTGTCACCAGAGGCACGTGATGAGGCTGAGAAATTAGGAGTGAAAATAATGACGGCTGAAATTATCTACCATCTTTTCGACCAATTCACAGCGTACATGGAACAGATCAAGGAGGAGAAGCGGCAACAGGTCCAGGAGGACGCGGTTTTCCCAGTGGTAGGAAAATATTCATACCATCTTTCCGCCACATCGTATTTGCTTAGGTCCTCAACATCATACCTCAGTACGTCTTCAATAAGAAGGATCCTATAGTCGTTGGGGTGGACGTCTCGGAGGGCACCCTCCGACTGAACACCCCTCTTTGTGTGCCTGACAAAGACTTCCTAGAGATCGGTCGAGTAGCCAGCATCGAAAAGGACCACCGGCCAGTCGAGAAGGCCATGAAGGGCGACAGTGTGGCCATCAAGATTCAGCCCACCTCAGCCCAGGCCTACGTTACATACGGTCGCCACTTCGATTCGAGCAATGCTATCATGTCCCGTATTAACCGCAGAACCATCGACTGCTTGAAAGAGAACTTCAGGGAGGACATGCGGAAGGAGGACTGGCAGCTCGTTATGAGGATGAAGCCGATTTTTGGTATACAATAATAATACCACCACGTTACTGTTTCGGAGGACTTAGTCCTTGTTGTTGAGGGAGGGCGGAAGGGGGACTGCTAGTGATTGTAGTAGAGGTAAAATGGGGATCCAAAAACGTCGTAAGAAGAATGCTAATAACACCAGGGGAGGTATAGTGAAGGCTAAGAGGCACACGAGGGATATCGATCAGGTTACCGCCACTTGCTGTTTTGCTATTTTACGCTTTTTCCATCAGATTCATGACGACTTGAAGGCCCCAGAGAAGTTCTCTACCATGCCAGTTGATGAGGACCTCCCCGGCCGAGGACAGCACTACTGCGTCTCTTGTGCTAAGTGAGCCTATCGTAGTGTCTGGGCTTGCATCTCCCCTGAGGTACTTCATCAACGACATCGCCTTGGTGGCCCACTTCAAGACACCCAAGCATCGACGGAGATTAAAGCAGGCCCTGGATGGTACTACCAGACCCTTGGGGCTTTGGGATTGCCCCTCTTCCTCAGAACCTCACACGCAGGAAGCCGCTGAAGCAGCGGTCGGATACGGCCGGGTCTGATGTGTATTATACGTCAACGTTCCTCGTCTGTGGACTTGTTGAGTTATGTCAAATTAGCAGGGGCGACGAATGCTGGACAGATGAATTCTCGAGGGCTCAACTTTCGTGAGCTGCGGTTAACTGGGGACACCACCAGAGGGTGGCCGTCGGCCCCTACCCCTGTTGTGAAGGATCCCTACAGGGCCGGGCTCCGTCGCTCGCTGAACGCTGGCGTGCGTAATGGCGTCTGTAGACATAGTGAGGGAGGAGGCCCCAGGGGGAGGAGCTGGATGGCCGCAGTGAGTGCAAGTGTTGGATTCAATGTTTGCTTTCCTCTGCTGAGCTCAGCAGTTTCGGGTAGAA